CTTGCCCCTTTTATCCTGAGGATCAGTGTAGTTGTTGGAACGATATGTCGGACTCGACAATGTATTTATTTACATTTTAATACATGTATATTGTTCCTCCTTTGCTGTGTTGTTTTAGAAAATCGTGGACTAACAGTTTGAAGTCATTGAACTACTTCCAAAAGTTGTATCGACATCAACAGGGTTACGATTTCAGTGCAATACGATGCAGGATGACCTTATCACGATAACCCATGATTACAAACCATTATAAACACAGAATCAACAAAAACATCTGCGACACGCACCTGGTTACATTTCTCAAATATATCTGAAAGGCAAGACAATTTTATGACAGAGTCATGAAATTCTGCTACAGCAACATGCACAGAATGACCTCCGTATAAAAAGAAGTATCACCACGGTCCACCACAACTCACATGTTTCCCCGCAGAAGAACATGCTTGTGCCATTTTCTGCAAGAAAAGGCTTGCACATCAATGCGTATAATACAGTATTGATATGATGTGAAGGCCATCATTTACATGTTGATATAGGGCATTCCATTGATTGGTGACAGAAAAAACAAAAGAAATTATAGCAATAAAAACTGCTTTATGGCAGTTTTCTAAAAAAAGTTATTGTGTTCTAGTCCATGGACCCCGTCTAAAAAGTAAGAAATTAACAAAATGTGATAGCTGAAAATTAAAATTTCACACAAAACCTCACAATAATCACACACAGAATGAAAAGCTACATGTAGAAGACCTTTTCCCCTCGTGATCCTCTTTCCTTTGCATGCATGACATGCATGTTGCCAATTGTTGGTGCAGTACAAGTCTAGTGTTGAAAGCAGCATTTCAAGTGTTGTGATTATTGTGAGGTTTTGTGTGAAATTTTAATTTTCAGCTATCACATTTTGTTAATTTCTTACTTTTTAGACGGGGTCCATGGACTAGAACACAATAACTTTTTTTAGAAAACTGCCATAAAGCAGTTTTTATTGCTATAATGTACATTGTACAGTCATACATGTATGTACCCACCTACCGTAGCCTCAAGTTCGTGCTGGGACGGTCGAAGGCATCCATGATAGCTTTCCTCTGTTTGCGCCATGGCCAGAGGCCCGTAGGCCTTTGCGGATAACGCCGGAAGAAAAATTGGCAGAATTCCGTACTTTTTCTGGTAAGTTCCATGCATGTTTGGTATGTGGATGAAGAAATGGAGCAGAATTCGACGAATTGCCCGCCATAAGGTTTGTACGGTTCTGCCAATTTCACTGCTTTTCGAGCAGAATCTGCCACCTTTTCGAGCATTATCCGCCACTGCCTACCAGAGGGGGTTCTTCCTAATCCAGTCTTGTATAGGAAACAGGCATGAAACCAGGGAGTAGACTACTAGTACAACACCACTCCCTACTTGTACATGAAACGATGAATTATTATTATTAGGCAACAAGGACGACTAATTGCACTGTAAGCATTTCCTACGTGTCGACATGTACATGTATGTGTAAAACGTGAAACGAAAATCGCAGGGCACACAATGAAAGGGAAAGAGAGGATTTGCTCAGAACTGTTTTCTTGTTACATTCATCAGTGAATCTACGCCACAATGGAATGGGGATTACTTGAAACAAATCTTATATGGACAAATAAAAGTGAAAGAAGGGGGAAAAAAGCGAAACAGAAAGGTGATTATACTACACGTAGTCAGCAGGGGAACAATTTCAGCTGCTACACCATGCATGTGTGAATCATCAGCGTCAGCAAAACAAAGCAAAACCTGAACAGACGAGAGGAAACTCAGGAAAGTGTGAACGGAGGGGGGGGGGGGGGGCAATCACACACACCACACTCGCATCATACTACTACGTAAGCAATTTGAAGGTGATAACACGGAAATGCTTACAGTGCAATTAGTCGTCCTTGTTGCTATATTAAAACTGCTTAATGGGAAAAGTCTGAAGAAAAAATTGATTGTCGCCATCAGGATTCGAAACAGGGACCTTCGCTTGAGGCCAGCGATGCTCTAACCACTGAGCTAAGGTCAGACCGTCTGGCCGTCATTCCAGCAGAGACCGTTCAACAATTTGCCCAGACTTCGTAACTGCCCTGTGGGGATTACCCTATCCAAATCTTCCTTCAATCTGTCGGTCAGAAAGCTCCCCTCTGTACCCCAGCACTGCAAAGGCTCCACAGTACGCGGACGTTGTCTCCCTTTACAAAGCTGGCAAGGATGCTAAACAGTTGTGCAAGGAGCTGACAGAAGACAGAAGACTGCTAAATCCGTCCAAGACCCAGTTTGACCCTGCCGTCGCTCTGCAGCTGGGTGAGGCCACAATTAGCCCGTGTGCACACATTCTATGCCTTCGCATTTGTACTTGACGAACATTTCTCCTTCGGGGAGTACGTTACGCAACTAGGGCGCAAAGTTGGAAGTAAGTTACCGTAGGTAGGCATGTTCAGAAAAGTCCGAGATCACGTGACGGTAGCTGCAAAGCGTGCATTTTATATTTTGTTCAATTCAGACAGTACTTGAGTATGGTAGTAACTCATTTGCTCATTGTGTGTCAGTCACTCTTCATTATCGGCTAGTCCGTCTTAGTAATAGTCTAATAGAGCTCACATATTGGGTTCAGTACGCCTCGTTTTTCTGATGTGTCCGTTCCTGCACTCGCTCTCAGGTACCTTCATCTGTCACTCTACCACAAGCTAAAACTCGCTTTGGTCTCTTTTCAGTTGCTTGCATCGGTTCTGATCGCTGGAATGCACTCCCTGCTGAAGTCCGCTTATGCTAGGTTTTCCGCAAATCGGCCCATTTTCATCTATTCGGCTTTTCGCTCGGCTCCATCCAACATACATCACATTTGGCTGCAAAATCAGCTGATTGCTCGAAAACCGGCTGCAAAATTGGAATAGGGAATTGTGTGTTGCTCCCTACGTGGGAGCTTGCGCTATTCCTGCCGACTTGAATTCTCACTTGACTGACTCACGACTGCCATCCGGAGCACACAAGAAGTCCATCGAACCTTCCACTCGGCAAACCTGCAAGAAAGCACCACTCCCTGCTCAATACACAGTGTTTCGGGGAATTCACCCCTCATCAGTTGAGCTTGAGTAGGCCTATTTTTTTTTTTTTTTTTTTTACTGAATACCACAGTACCATCAGATGCTGCACAGCGGGGGCGGTGGCATATTGGATGGAAGTGGGGGCGGGGCAAAAGTAACTCCTCCGACCAAAGGTCTCGGAATCATCGTTACTCCTGTGCGCCGATACATAGGAGAAAAGAAACATGTGCATCCAAGAGGGAAGCACCGGCTTTGCAAACGATAATGGGGAGAATTTGAGATTGAGATAGGACAAAAGTTTAAACAATAGTAAAAGCAGTGCACCATAGGAAGATGGAGAGAACTGATAATTGGATTTTAAGGCTGAGCGAAGGGGATCAAAGAGGGGTAGAAGGGAGCTGGAGTGCGGTCAGTATAATTAGGCGGGTGTGTTGGCAGAGATCATAGCCTGTCTGTGGCCCACTCCCACTTGCTGCGCCGCAAGTGGTCGTTGACGTTTTTCTTGAACGTGTGCATACCTCTGCGAGAAGGGGGAGACTGCAGAAGGGTAGGTGGGAGCTGATTCCATGTTGCGATGAGGGAGTGGGGAAATGAGCGGAGCGTGTTGTTTCGTGACTGAGGAGGAAGAATACTGGTGAGTTGCGATGGATGATGTGTTGCAGATCTGGTTGTCTCACGAGTAGACATGCGGCATTGCGGTGCGGCTGCTGATGGTGGCAGAATGGCTTTCACCATTTCCGGACCCTCCACAAAGTGCAGCTTGTACAGAAAGCAGAGCCCTGCTACGGTACGGCGTAGGCTGAGGAAGATTGTATCGCCGAAGTCGCACCAAGTAGAGAGCTCGAGCGGTCATGCTTGCAGCAACATCATTCGTTCGTAAAGGCACTTTGCATACTATTAGTTTCGCTTGTGCCAGACGACCAAAATACCACGGTGGCCGACGCAGCGCCTAGCCTAGCCTAGAGACGACGGTGAGGTGGTTAAGTCTCACAAGCTACAGCCAGTGTCCCGACGACAGTGCTGCTGGTAATGAGTTATGAACTAACTTATCCCACGCATTGTGACATAACACTCTTGCTGTGTTGGAAGCCCGCGACGCCAGTTACCATTCCTCGCTATCGTTTTCATGTTCAGAGTTTTTGTGTTGTCCATGTTTTTGTTTTTTGGGTGTTTTTTGTTGTTGTTTTTGCTTGACACCGTTTTGGGAACACAGCCCATGCATGCATGCTGTGTGATCAGCACTGTAGTGTGACTGTGTTGAGTCACACAGGCGACATGGGGTAAACCTCCTACTCCTAGCTACACAGGCGACATGGGGTGAACCTCCTAGCTGCATCCAAGTAGTGACGGCGGGTGATACTGTTAGCGGAGTTCATCGCATGCATTGATGGTTCACGCATGCATCATGGCATTTGTTAGCACAGTACAGTCGTGCTCCCTGCTGCAAGCGCCGGTCTGGAACTGGGACCTTGTGATCCAAAGGCAAATGCGAACCCACAACCACTCAGTCAAAGCGCTGGTCATATTAATTCAAGTATACGCAGTGGACAAGAATCAATACGACACTGATAGGCCAAAGCCACTCAATCCCAAACTACCAACGAAAGAAATCAATCAAAATACTTGAAAAAATACATTTGTGCACTGCTTCATAATGCGTCGAAGGCTAAAACGGCGTATGAGAGAGTAAGAAAAAATTATACTGAAGAGATCCTAAAATGAACAAAAAGCAAACAAAGATGGCTACCAGCACCTACTGAATTGACTGACATATCCTGGACGTGTGAAAGAAAACATTTATATAAATACTCGAAGATACGCAAAATTAGTTACGAATAGTGCGTAAGTGCTTTGTACTAATGGACAGTACATGTAGACACAATGTAACTTAGCGCCTCTGTAAGTACACTTGAACTAAAGAGGGAGTGAGGAGAGGGGGGGGGGGGGGGGCGGAGGGGGGGGGGGGGGTGAGTAATAAATAAAATAACCCCCTCCTCCTCGCCTCAAACTTACGAATATTCAAAAATAAAACGACTGTATCTTCAATATTAGTGTCCAGTCAGCGAGTGATGCCGCTTGCACACAGGTCTGACCAGAGGGGTACGTCACAAAAGCAACTGCAACCTAAGCTCTACAATCAGTCTGCAGCTGCCTGACGCAGGGTCAATAACACACTGGCAAGCTTGCGACACTAGCATAACAACAATAAGCAAGAACTGCCACCGCGCACCACATACCATCGGAATCAGAGAGATTTCATCACAGGCTGCTGCCGCGTGAAACCGGCATCACTCTAAAAACTAATTTAGCGACAGCCCAGATCTGCAGATCCAGGGTTCATCGAGATACGAAACGATTTTCTAAAGTACTGAGGGAACTGTCAAATAATTCGTCGAATGAAAAGTTGAAAACTATCCTACATGCAAGTGCCTAAACTGATGGGGGGGGGGGGGGCAGGAATGACCAGCATTCGCAACCAAAGCTATTTGTTATAGAGAAGAAAGTTGCGCAGGGACGTGAACACATCGCTGTCCTTATACAAGTAAGTCATCGAGGCGCGCAGCGACGGCTGCAGTGTCGAGCGATGGTGCTCGAACAGCCACAGCACGATTGCCCAGACGAGCGCACCGAACAAGGGGAAGGGATCGGAGCGCGGGGCGGGAATGAAGCCCTGGTCGACACCAACCTTGCACAGGCCCATGATGATACGGGACAGCAGGTAGAGGTTAATCTGAGCAGTTGTAAAAAAAACACAAAACACCTTCAAAAAGAGCTTCTTGTAACGTCGACTGCAGTAAAAGGACTGCTCAGAGCATGGGATCTACTCTTGTCATCATGTTCACGAAAACAAATGCACGCCGTATTTAATGTACACACACCTTCCAACAAGTTCCCTGGGACAACAACAGTACCACAGCAAGGTCTAAACAGACAAGTGTACGCATGCAGTCTCACCTGCTGGTTGATCTTGTTGTTCTCTCCGAACACAGCGTAACCACCAAGAAACCCTGCAAGCAACGAGTGCCACTGGAACTGAACTCCGGAGAAACGATTCAGCAGTGCCATCAGGAACTTATAGATGAAGACGAAGGACGCCAAGTTGCGAGAGTGCATGTAGGTGGCACGGAGGATGAAGCGCACCTTGTCCTGGATACTGCGTCAGATAGTGTAGCAATGTTCCAAATGCAGGAGCCACACAAAAACAAATAACAGAACAACAGAACTGCAGCTGTCACTATCAAGTCCATGGAACGGTATTTATCAACCTATTAATTAATTTGTGTGTGTGTGTGTGTGTGTGTGTGTGTGTGAGTGTGTGTGTGTGTGTGTGGTGTGTGTGTGTGTGTGTGTGTGTGTGTGTGTGTGTGCATCAAGCACTCGTCGCTTCAATCACAGCAGAACGTTTAAAAATCCGTCACAACACCTAAAAGAAAATTCCCGCAGGGTGCTCTGCTCATTGCATGTTTTCATTAAAATCTCTTCTATCCATATGCAGGGCATGTCGCCACACATGGCAAATTATTACTATTATTATTATCATCAAATTTTTGATAGGGTAATCCCCACAGAGGCCTTCCAACAGGGTACCCTAGAAATGAAAGTACTGAATTACGGAATAGGTGCAGTGAAGAACATAAGCGGACTGCAGCAGGGAGTGCGAATGAAAAGATTCAAGACAAAGCAAGAACACCAGTAAAGCAAAGTAGAGCATTGCAAAAAAAGAAAAGAAAAAAATTGTGCTCCATGGCCATATCAAGGCACACAGGACGGACATTTAGGTGATGGCCATGTTATACAGTTACATGCAATCAACACAACCAGGTGGCATGCCATACGCGCTTTTCTCATCACACTTCACACGCCCAGCAACACCCAGGCACTTGGTCCAGGCTAAGTCGACCTGGACGATGGCTGAACAAGGGAGGCGGTGTGTACCGACCAACTCAGGTCACCAGCAGTAGCCAATTGCAACTACGCGCACCAAGCTCAATACACTCGCGAAAAAGGCTGGCGTCATCGAACACAGCGTATTTGCCAAGGTACGAGTACATGTCAAAGCATGGTCCATATGTGACCAGGTTTCGGAACACTCAAAGTATTTCAATATCCTACATACCGTATTATCTCTAATATAAGCACAGTCTCCAATAATAGCACGTCTCCAATAATAGAAAACCTTGGGGCGGCATTCAAAAAATAAAGTGCTCAGTCTCCATTATAAGCACACTGTGTAAATTCATTATCTGTACTGGCGAAAAAAAACCCTGAAATGTGTGCATCATACATGAATTTGGCATGGCAACATGCCTCTGAAATGAGGTTGAAATAATAATGGAACAGTCTCCAATAAAGGAACGTCTCCATTAATAGCACGGGGCGGAGGTACATTGAAAAAATAAAGGACCGTGCTTATATTAGAGATAATACGGTACCAACCCAGCAGTCCAGTACGCACTGGAGATATTCAATCTTATAACGTGCATCCACAGTAGTGACAGTACCCATCCCCCCCCCCCCCCCGGAAATACAGTAGACTGGTACTACACGGCACCTGTTACAGAGTAGCACAGGGCCCCGACCAAACCTGAATGTTGTGCCACCTGTTCCCTAAGCACTGTAAGAAAATAGCTCACAGCTCTTGTGAAAGTCGGCCACGCTGACGTTTCGGCATCAGAAAACTGAGAAAATGAGCACCAGCACTACCATCAAGGATAACTACACAGATGCACATGTAGCTCCTAAAGCGGTAGGGGTCAGTGGATCAGACCTACCAGAGCAGGATATTTTGAACCTGGATCCCACTGTGCATCAGTCACAACCATACACCATACCACTCATTGGGCTCGATAACCCGAGCGTGTCCTACACTCTGGCATCACACACACAACCTTGAGTGGTGCAAGTTTTGGGTCAAAAATGGGTGTGAATCTTACCCTGGGCAAATACCCCCCCCCCCCCCCCCAGATCACAATGTAGCAGAGTCCTTGGTCCCCTACCTGCCACTGTGGAAAAGGAACGTCATGACGAGTGCATGCGGAAAGCGAATCTTGGCACCATACCTGCACCAAACGGAGGCACACACCGCATGTCCAACGTATGTAAATTCTACATGAAACATCATACAAACTCCGGCGAAAAGTTCACCATAGATGGCAAGGACATTCAGTGTCCAGATACAGAAATATAAGGAGAAAAGAGGACCAAAGAGCTACAAGTTACGCTATAACATCCACTAACACCACCAGTTACTTTACAATCAGCTCATGCGATAACATTGCACGACACCTAGAACCTTCCAAGTTGGAAGGGTGTTGGAGTGCGCATCTTAGATGTGCTAGAGCTGATTGCCAGTTAGGTGTAGAACGTCAGTACCGTTGGTCAGTGTCGTGCAATGTTATCGCATGAGCTGATTGTAAAGTAACTGGTGGTGTTAGTGGATATTATAACGTAACTTGTAGCTCTTTGGTCCTCTTTTTTTCTTATAAATTAATCCTTGCCTCTCCACCCGAGTCTAAATACAGAACTGCGAGTATTAATATTATACAACTCGTTCACTGCACTCCACGTCACGCCACTTGTTGCAAGTATTTTGTGCTAGGTGTACTTCAAAATTATCAATACCAAACAAAAAACTCATTCCACCACAGACAATACGACGAGAAGGACACCCGCCTATCGCAGTACGTCTGGGCCAAGAAGGATGAAGGGAAGGCATGCAGCATTCAATGGGCGGTACACCGCAGAGCAGCGGCCTACAGAAACAAAAGCAAAAGGTGCAACCTGTGCCTGGGGGAAAAAAATGGCAATCGCGCAAGCACACAAGCACCTTTCTCCCAACACGCGGAGTGAGCTTGTGTGAAAGTGTCGCCACGAGAGTAAGTACTACCTTCGGAACTTCAAACCATCCACAGCCATCACCTAATTAAGTAAGAGACAACCAGCTCCAGTGGTTGTCACCTTTCACCACTGCTGTCATTCGCACTTTTAAATTTGCCCCATGATGCAGTTATTTACGCTTTGCACTGCCGCCATTCACAACTTTTAGATTTGCGCCATGATGCAGCCATTTACACTTTGCTTTGTGAGTATATAAACCAATACTGATCCAGAGTTACTCATTGCTGTTTTCTGATGATCACTTAGTGCGTGAAACATAGAGTTAAAACACTGTCTCTGTCCTCTTATTGTTCGAACCAGCTCTGCCTCTCGGGATTGAGCACTCTCTTGGACAGCCTGGAACCGCTCTGTTTTATAGGTGTAAATACCTTCAAAATATCTACAGCATTACATTTAGCATGCACTTGCAGTCGACTTTCCTTCATCAGTTGATGAGCTTGTCTGAATTTGCACCAACTTTAATGACTGCTACAATAAAAATAAGTATTACACCTTCGCAAAGAAAAACAACAGTTTCAAATTGGACAACAGGCGATACCGCTGAACCGAGCAATCTTGGCAAAGCAGTGTGGATAGCCTACTCACACAGCTCCATTTCTCAGTCCTTTCACAACGGCCAGACCAGAATGCCACGTTCCTGATGCCAGCAGGGCATTTACAGATTCAAGGAAAGACATGCTCCAGTGCAGAATCTTCGTTGACGTCGTGCATGAAGACTGGACAGCTGCTCACAAACTGCACTGCGATACTATGATAGCAAATCCAGTGATAATGCTTGCATGAAAGGTATGAGAGAGGAGGAAAAGGACCGTAGAAAGACTAAAGTGTAAATGGCAATGTACAATCATGTAGTCGCTGTTCGTGTTCAGTTTCCAGTGTTTTCAAAGAATAGAAGATTTGAACTTGAATTACTTAGAAGTCTTTTTTTTGACCCGTGGCACGCCGTGTGCACGTGACTCGGCACCGCATGCACGTGCACATTGCCATGGCTGTGCATGTGGTGAGCGCTAGCGCTAGCGATGGCCGGCCGGCCCAGCCACCAGCGCTAGCGACTCCCTGGTTCGATTATCATGATTTAATTATCGATACGCAGAATGAAGGCGGAGCCTGAGGTCAACGCAGTGGAGCCCCGTCAAGCGCAGAGGGTGATGATGATGATGACTTTTTGTTTTATTTCGCAAATCCAAAGACATGGTCCGGATTTTTTTATTTTTTTATTTTTTTATTGGGAACACAGGCTTACACAGCCCTACAAAGAGAAATGTGGAGACAAACACAAAACAAGACACAGGGGATGTAGGGACGACGTGCCGATGTACAGGGAGCAACTCGACCGACCAGGGGTCTCGGCGTTAGCGTTGCAACCTGGCATCGAAAAAGGGGGGGGGGGGGGTTGCATGGTCAAGTAGCAAAAATAATAATTTGGTGCGAGAAAGCCGGGGGCGCTGGTATTGCACCAAATAATAATAAATTAATGCGTGTGATGACTTCCAACCTCGAGAGCAGCACCAGACAGACATATCTATTCCGGATTATGCAAGTACAAACTTCGAAGCTATGCGCGCCGACCTATGGGCACGGCCCCTGTACGAATGTTGAGAAGGAGCTACCTCAATCGAGAGCGCTTGGTTTTCCTGGCAGAGTTACGCCCACGAGAGCATCCACCGTCACTTGGCTACACGTTTGCTCAGACCACGAAGAAAGCAGCCTGCGAAGCCCTGGTTCACGGCAAGCCACAAGCGACTGCACAAACAGCGAAACAGGATGTTTGCCCTAGCCAAGCAACCAACACCGTGCAGGATTGGGTTGCGTACAGGGTGGTTCGCAACGCCCTCTCGAGCAGCCTCAAGCGCAGCAAAGCGGACTACTTCAACCAATTGTGCTCGCGTATCGACAGTGAAAAGAATAGTTACAGGTGGTGGGCACAAGCTCGCGAACATTACGAGCCAGACGGCTAACTTACCGACGCTAACCGACGAGAGTGGGGAAGCCCCATGCGACGCAAGCAAGGCAGAAAAGCTGGCAGACACGTTTGTAAGACAATTCTCGCCAAACCCTAGCTTCGACCTAGCTGCAGCTCTACTGACGCCCTCGTTCTCTACACCTGACCATGAGTTTGATCTGCCAAGAATAACTGAAGAAGAAGTCTTCCGAAAGCTCCGAACACTTCCGGCAAGAAAATCCACCGGAGGACTGATAACAAATAGAATCCTGAAAGAAACTGCGCCCGTGATCACGCAGTCCTTGTATCAGCTTCTCAACCTCAGTCTACGTCTCGGACAACTACCAGTAGACTGGAAAACCGCCACTGTTATCCCGATATTCAAGAATAATGGACAACCGGCAGTACCCACCAGCTATAGACCAATCTCCCTCCTTCCGGCCATTGCCAAGCTCCTAGATTCGATCATCGCGGAGCACCTGTCGAGGTACCTATCCAGACATGACATAATCTCTGCCCACCAGTACGGTTTCGTCCGCCGGAGGTCAACACTGGATCGGCTCGTCATGCTGACATCTAGGATAGCCAAGGCGATGGACAAGCGGAGCACCTACCACACCCCGTTCCTGGACTTCGCTAAGGCGTTCGACAAAGTGCCGCATCCAGTCCTCCTCTACCATCTGGGCACGTTTGCAACCCAGAACGCACTTTCGTGGTTCTCCAGTTACCTTGGTGACCGGCAATTCACGGTCAAAGTCACTTCCTCCGTAAACACAACCCGCCCTATAGCCGCTGGCGTACCACAAGGATCCCATCTCGGCCCTATCCTGTTCCTTCTGTACATCAACTCTCTCCCGCAGACCATCCCAGATGAGGACCACTGTCAAGTTCTTCTCTTTGCCGATGACACGACCATTGGAACGGAAGTCGCTGCACCTACCACTCCCTCTTCCCAGCATCATAGTCACCCACTCCAAGTTGCCACGGATGCCGCCCTGAAATGGGCCGACTCGGCAGGTGGACGCTTTAACCCCACGAAGTCCTTCCAAATGACGTTCTCCCCATGTACCAACGGACCGGACCCTCCAAACATCGGGCACCTGCGAATAAACCAGGAAGAAGTGCGCACGGTCGACACGCACCGAAATCTTGGCGTGCAAATTGATAGCCACCTCAACTTCCAGTACCACATCGAAACAATCACCACCAAATTTCGCCAACGCGTGGTACTACTTGCCCACATGTCGAGCCGCCTAACGCCGGAAGTTACAAACCGGCTTTATACTGGTTATGTCCGACCCACCATTGAATACGCCTCGCCACTGTGGCAGTTCCAACTGTCCGCATCCCAAGCGGCGGTGCTTGAGCGTCTGCAGGCCAGATTGGCACGAGTCGTCTTGAGACAGTACGGTGTGTTTCCCTCGGCTACTGAACCGAAGGCATCTCTGTTCGCGCACCTGCAATGGCCCAGTCTGGCATGGCGGCGACACATCCAGTGCCTCCGGGAGCTCCATCACCTGGTCCACCACCAGACCACTGCCCTTATGGAGCTGGGCTATAGTCTCTCCACCAGCGCTCGGCACCCTCTCCAACTTACTTGTATCGCCTGCCAGGGCGAACAGCTACTCGCGTGCCACCTTCCTCTTTGCTACCGCTGCCACCTGGAATTCTCTCCCCACTGACATTAGAACCACCCAAAATAGTCATTGCTTTGTGTCTCGTGTCCGTACCATCTTTGCCAACACCCGCTTCGAACCCGCTGGTTTCATTCCTTCCAGAGTTTCTATAACATAGTAAAGAATGGTATGGCTGATTTCTACAGTATGCATTTGTTATAACCCTTCCTCTTCTCAATCTATATGTTATAATTTTGCAGATATATTCCCAGTAAGCCATGAACGGAGACCCCCTCGACTCAGGGTGCGTTTGGTTGGTACGATCTAGAACAGGATCGAACAGCTGGTGCACATGGAGCAGCCTCATGCCAACCAAACGCTACTCCAGAAACAGAGAACATTTTTGTGGAAAAATGTGCCAAACTTGGTGCATTCTTCAAAATGTGTATGGGTCACCATGGTCACTTTGTACGGTAAAACGAGTCCAACCCAAAAGCGTATGCACGTGATCATTTGGGACCAAAATCGATGTTCCCGCCAGGTTTCACTGTGAAAAAGTGAAACTGCTCGGTCTGCTCTGGCCTGGAGGCCGGAGCAAGCAGAACATGTTCTGGCCGACCCAGAACAGGTGCAGTCCCAACCAAACGCGCTGTTCTGGTGAATCCTGTTCTAGTTCGTACCAACCAAACGCGCCCTTAGGCCTCGGCCTTTGGGGAATCCATAAATAAAATTTAAAAAAAACTAAACCAGAAGGGAAAAAGAAAACAATAATCATAACAAGCAAGTACTAGTAGAGAGGTAAATACTAAATGGGTCTCAATATCATCGTGACAGGTACTGTGTGGACCACAGCCATCTCTTTCGGATTACATCCTTACATTTTTTTTACTGAATACCACAGAACCATCAGATGCTGCACAGCGGTGGCGGTGGCATATTGGATGGAAGTGGGGGCGGGGCAAAAGTAACTCCTCCGACCAAAGGTCTCGGAATCATCGTTACTCCTGTGCGCCGATACATAGGAGAAAAGAAACATGTGGTTGTGCATCCAAGAGGGAAGCACCGGCTTTGCAAACGATAATGGGGAGAATTTGAGATTGAGATAGGACAAAACAATAGTAAAAGCAGTGCACCCGCTGCACCGTAGGAAGATGGAGAGAACTGATAATGGGATATTAAGGCTGGGCGAAGGGGATCAAAGAGGGGTAGAAGGGAACTGGAGTGCGGTCAGTATAATTAGGCTGGTGTGTTGGCTGCGATGGAGAGATCATAGCCTGTCTGTGGCCCACTCCCACTTGCTGCGCCGCAAGTGGTCGTTGACATTTTTCTTGAAGGTGTGCATACCTCTGCGAGAAGGGGGAGACTGCAGAAGGGTAGGTGGGAGCTGATTCCATGTTGCGATGAGGGAGTGGGGAAATGAGCGGAGCGTGTTGTTTCGTGACTGAGGAGGAAGAATACTGGTGAGTTGTGATGGATGATGTGCTGCAGATCTGGTTGTCTCACGAGTAGACATGCGGCATTGCGGTGCGGCTGCTGATGATGGCAGAATGGCTTTCACCATTTCCGGACCCTCCACAAAGTGCAGCTTGTACGGAAAGCAGAGCCCTGCTACGGTACGGCGAATGTCGAGGCTCGGGAGGTATGATCCATCTCCAATTATGTGCAGGGCACGGCGCTGGATGGCAGTGAGGCGGGCCAAGGTGGTGGGGGCTGCGCTCATCCACACCAGCATGCCATGCTCTAACACAGGGCGGACAAAGCCACGGTACACGATTGCCCGGTGCTTTGGGTCTAGCACAGCCGATGCCTTACGGAGGAAGCCGAGCCGCTGGGCTCCGCGTACTGCAAGCTGTCGAATATGGCTGCGGAATGCCAGCTGCCTGTCGAAGGTGACGCCAAGAAGCTTGAGCTCCTCTACTTCTGGCACGACTGCTCCTTGGAAGCGTATTGCGTTCGGGGGGGGGGGGGGGTTGGCGAGCGGTGGTGGCTGATGGTCAATGCCTGCGACTTTGTGGGCTCGAACTTGATCCTCCACCTGCTTCCCCATGCTGCCAGTGAGTCTACTGCCTGCTGGAGGATTGCTGTCTCTTCTGGCAGTCTGAGTCGGGTGGTGATGCACTTGTACAGAGTTGTGTCGTCGGCGTACGTTGACCTTGAAGGTTTGGAGGCGTCTTGAATGAGGTTCGTGAAGCAGGAGGTCCGCAGGCAGGTTGTTCCAGGGTGTGATGGCGAAGAAGGGGAAGGATCGCAGGAGGTAGTCAGGGGCTGTGCGAGGGGGTGTCCACTTCAGCTGGAAGCCATGGTGCGTCTGACGTTTTTTCCGTGTGCACATGCTAGCTACGGCAGGGGGCTTGGTTGGTGGCAGCATGGCCTTTACCTGGGGAGGCCCTGGAATGTAGTGCAGCTTGTACAAGTATGACAGGGCTGCCACCATCCGGCGAAGCTGAAGACTTTGGAGGATGGTTCCAGGTCCCAGGAAATGCAGGGCACGTTGCTGAACCTTGTCCAGCTGGGCAATGTTAGTTGCGGCTGCGCTCGACCAGGCCAGTGGGGCTTATTCAAGTAGGGGTCGAACGAATCCCTTGTAGACTGCCACTCGAGCATGGTCGTCCAGGATGAGTGCTGCCTGTTGTAGGAAACCCAGCCTTTGGGAGGCGCGCAGTGCAACACTGCGAGTGTGCGCTCTGTAGGAGAGAGTAGGGTCGAGCATGACTCCCAGCAGCTTCAGGGTATCTGACTCCTGGAGTGCTTCACTTCCAAAGGTGACTGGTGGAGTGCAGGGGGAACGTGCTTGCGATGTAGAGTCATGCGCTGTGTCTTGGCTGGCTCAAAGCAGATACGCCACTTGCGGTCCCACTCCTCAAGACTGTTGAGGGACCCTTGGAGGGAGGCAGTGGACTGTTGGAGATCGTCAGTTGGCTGTACTAAGCTGTAGAGTGTGGTGTCGTCTGCAAAGCTGCTCAACTGCGTTCCTGGAGTTAAACATTGTTCAATGTCACAGGTGTATAAAGGAAGCGGCTGGGTCCTTATAATAATGCATACCGGTATGAGAGTCTGCGGAATGTCATACATGTACTGTGGATATCACCAGAGAAAAGGGACCTGTTGGTTGGTTGGCTGGTTTTTATTATTTCAGTTCGTTGCCTCAACAGTACAAAGTACAAACATCAAGAGGAACGAACGATAAGAGAAAGTGAAACAGAGCAGACAGGAAAATGCAACTGAAAGGGAAGAACAGCGGAGAGAAACGGAGAAGGAATGTGGACTGGGCGGACTCATGAACCATTACCTAGAGCGGGGCAAGACTATTATTATTATTTGTTATTATTCTCGTGTCCGTCCCGAATGGGACTCACGACGGCAGAATTAACCGTGAGCATGTGTGTGTGAGAGTGGGAGAACGAAATGAAAAAGAAAAGAAGAGTCTTGTAATAAAGGTCAAATTTAAGAAGAGCAGTACTAGACTAAATGGCTGAGCAGATGTTACTCCACTGTTTTCTGTCGCGGGCATAGGTGCCAAGATCACGAAGGCAGCTGCCCTTAAAAATGCAGATAGGTGTGAGGCGGACGTCTCGCTGGAGACTTGTGGTGAGGCAAGAGCGGGGTGCACCTATTCGAAAGGGCTGACTGGTAGCATATGTACAGAAAGCAGTGAGAGCAACATTTGCAGGGATGTCACTTGGCTGGCGTAATATATGTCCTAATAGCTTCCACCTATCCCGCTTGGCCATTTCAGATACAGAGCACTGGCCAGTAACAGCATATAAATCTGCATTCGAGATGACATCTGGGTAGGTAATTCCAAGGGTACACCGCAGCTGTTTCCTATGAAACACATCTAGGCGCTTTTCTTGTGCACGGGACAGGCCATGGCAAGCAAGGTTGTAGGTCAAGATTGGTAGAACGAAAGTGTTGTATAAACGAATTTTGATGGGTGTAGAAAGCAGGTTGTGTTTGAACCATAACTTCAGAGTGTCTCCAAATGCTCTTGCAAGACTAGCTGGTTGACAACACATCAGGGAGCTGTACATGCATGGCCTCTGCTAGCTGTAGGTCTCCCTTGTTGACATGTTCTTTTCCTCCTACTACACGTGGCTCCAACTGCCTCCCAGTGTTAGGAAAGCTCCAGATATGCTCAAATTCTGAACCCTCGTCAGATTGCAGACGGCACTTCAGTATCATCCAGTAAACAAAATCACAGTCACCACTTCCGCTGCATAGCTCGCTGGGCATTCCATTGCTTTGTAACTTGCTAATCCCTCCCCTTTTGTGTACGTGCCTTTCATTTTCTTTTCTCTCTTCTTCTGTGGTTGGTCTCACCCTCTCCTCTGATTCAATTGGCTGTCTTGACATGCTACGAGGTGCAGAAATAAATAAATACAATGTAAATAATGTCGCCCGCTACCGAAATACGAGTTCAGCCTCAGGAAGCAGGAGTTTTGTGACGGGCTGTGTCTCCGCTACAGATGGACACCGGCCAGGATACCGATCCATTTTTCCTGTGCCCGAGAGGCGAGCGTTTCCCATTCGATATCCTGGCCTCCTGCCCTCATGAAGCGTTTCCCACAGTACGCCACAACGGCAGTCATCCGTGACACCACCTCCCAGCTCCTCCATCAATTGTTCAGCAATGTGTCGACTGAGTCTACGCTGCAGCTACGGACTGGTGAGCAGCTACAATATCAAACTGCTGACATCTAAGAACATGCACAGCTTGATGTTACTGTCGGTGGTTTGTGGGGCAGTCGATTTGAGCGAACCCTTATTGATGTCCGGGTTTTTTAACCCTTATTCTCGCTAAAATCAGTTTGCGCAGCGTACCACTGTGTATCATCGACACGAAAGAGAAACAAGAAGGCAATACGAAGAGAGAGAGAGAGAGAGAGAGAGAGTGTGTGTGTGTGTGTGTGTGTGTGTGTGTGTGTGTGTGTGTTGTTTGGGGAGCTCGAGGCAACCACACCACGGCATGGGTCAAAAAAGCGTTGGCGAGACACGATTGTCGGTGATCTGCGCTCACTGGATGTTCAGGAGTCCGAGTGGTACCGGCTCGCACAGGATCGACGAGAATGGCGCAGGTGGGTCCATCAACATCGTTTTCCTCTCCCAGCACCGAAGGACTTCCCCTGAGCATGCGGCAGAGCATTTAGAAGAAGTGGCGATTTCAAGTGGCGATTTGAAGCGTCACCTCAAGTACTGCCCAACTCAGTGGAGATGGGGCGTCAAAGCTCAAAGGTGTGTGTGTGTGTGTGTGTGTGTGTGTGTGTGTGTGTGTGTGTGTGTGTGTGTGTGTGTGTGTGTGTGTGTGTGTGTGTGTGAGAGAGAGAGAGAGAGAGAGAGAGAGAGAGAGAGAGAGAGAGAGAGAGAGAGAGAGAGAGAGAGAGAGAGAGAGAGAGAGAGAGAGAGAGAGAGAGAGAGAGAGAGAGAGAGACTCATAGAGCCTCTAAGACAGACAGAGGCAGAGAGGCAGACGGAATGACAGGACGACAGACAGACAATCATTATAATTCAGCAGAAGACAGCCGGAGATATGTTAAAAATAGATCAGTATCAATCGGTCCAGTCTTGATGCGGTTGTGTGGTCCGCCTATCCTCCATTGCAGGCAGACAGACAGTGCGGCAAAAGCTTGATATACATACAAGACAGACAGATACACAGACTGACAGACAGACAGAAGGGAGCTTATTCCTGCAATCTCGCAGGATGACTGCACTTCGAAGTACACTGTACATGATCCAAATGTTTTCGCTGCCAACTGGGATCAGGGGAATCTTGAGTTGGCCCAGTGCCCACAAATGCATCGGGCTGATTTACCATGCCTCCCAGTTTGCCTTGTACGCACCTCTTCATGGCCGAGTTGCCTGACGAGTGCATGTGCATTCATGGGCCAAGGCAATACGAATTCCAGCGCCATCAACTGACTTCCAAACATGTGATCCGTTTTAAGTTCTTGTCGTGGATCGGCCTGGGCAGCTATGGAGGGCAAACTGGTATGCAACGTGACATGAATCAGTGTTATGGCTAATTTGAGGAGCTACTGCCGCTAATAGTGGTACTGCGTTGATCTTTCGCCGCGTGTGCATGTACATGTGGCTTGTCTCTTGCGAGATTGTGATGTACTATAGCCTAATGAGCTTATAGTTATACGAACAACCCTGTTGCGCAGCGCAGTCCTACTTTACATATCAGCGTCCGCCATGACAGTAGCAGGCTTGAGTAATGTTAAGGCAGCCAAAACCGATTATCGGACGACAGCTGCACGGGCTTGTTTAAACGGCAAGTTGAGATGATTAGCTACACAACGAAGACCTCTTCTTCAGGCTTGGTTTCAGACGACTGCTTGTCGCGCCCCTATTACCCTGCTAAGACAGCTTCCCTGGCTAAGGTCATCTGGCTTGTACTCAGGAAATCCCGCTGAACAGTAGTGGCCGATTGGAGGGGTGCGGAAGGAGGCGCGAACCCAAATGAGCGGGGATGCGTTCGTGGTTGACTGGCTTTGGTCTGCAGCACCTTGCCAAGGGCATGCTGCAAAACTACTTGTGCTTTAGTAAACGGTACCTAAAAACAAACAGGGCATCATCCATCCAGCTTTATCATCCACTCATCCAATGATTAACGTTACATGTATGTGTATGGAGTGGTATTATGAAGATTTCAGCAAGCTCTTAATTGCCACACTATGCTTCGTCACCTCCAGCAACGAGACAACAATCCGCTGGCTACTTTGCATGCGTGGCGCCAGTGCAGCGCCAAAACCGTACACCATGTTCTCATGGGTGAAAGGTGAAATGTGCAATGCTGAAATTATCCAGCAGCGCCATTTCTCTGCTCATGGACAGAGGTCACCACGAGGAGCATCGTTGTGTGGATTATCCTGCACCCAACCCTAAGTTTAGCACTATTCAGGTAGACTGCAGAAATACTCCTCGCTATTTTAGGCACCCATCCCTTTTTCATATTGCCCGGGGATATGAGTGTCAGAGCGACTACCACGAAAAGCAGTTTCGTCCATACACAGTGTCCGCATGCGTTCATGAATTGAGAGATGCAATTCTGCATTAGTTTGATGCTGCAAGGGAGCAGATCATTCCTGAGCAGGCTGGCCGAGGAGGACTTTCGGCGCGCGTTACAAATGTTACCTGAGCAATTTCATAGCACAGGGTAAGATCACCTGAAAACCCCTTTCGTCTCCACAAACGGGCGTGCAAACAGTAACTTGCCAATGCTATCGGTTCGAGAAAATGATCTATCTTCGGCCACGTAACACGTACCCGCCGTCTTGAACTACACCCGCCGTCCGGGCTGTTTGGTGCTTTTTCCAGAAATCATGTCGACTTATAAAGCTTTTTGCACCAGGTCCTCCACCAAACCCCAACGTTACCAACATCCACCGACTTCGAAGGTTTTGCTCAATTGCATGGTGTTGGCCGTTGACGGCGAGAGATTTAGTGGCAGAGAGACAAGAACGTGTTCCGATATCGTGTACTGTAGCATAGCATTTTGTAAGGAGAAAGGAAGCAGCGGCTTGTGTCGGAGATGGCCAATTATCAAGGTAAGACGTTGCTTGCGACTCTTATTACAGGCGTTAAACATTGCACACAGTTGGTGCATATGGGATTTACACTGCAAGCTGGTCATTTTGAGATGGAATTGGTCCAGGTGTCGAGGACATGTACATGAAGGTCCTGGCAATCCTAAACTGACACATGGACGTGCTATACGACTGTGGTATTGTGTTATTGTGTTCATGTGATCGTAACACGCCCGGCGTGTCACAGTGCCTGTGCTTCACATACTCGAAGTATGCTGTATTCAATCTCAAGTCACCCCTCCACACAACTATTATTACTCTGTTCTTCTGGTTGAACAAAATATTTTGGTATCAAGCCAAGATCAAAATGATGAGATGTCAATAATCCAATTGTTCCTGCCCGAACATGTAGACTACAGCCTTCGCAGTCTGCACTTCATAACTTCATTACTTACATCTGCGGCATGGGATCGACTTTGACCATGCGGGGCCCAGTGGAGTCACGGAGTCATTCTGTGGACTGCACACACCTCGCAATCTCCATTTTTACAGTAACACCAGTTGCATACACAGCACCGCCCTGCGTTCTTCGACTTCTATTGCCAATAATTATTGGTACATGTACCTCTCCGGCCACGATATGTGAGAAATCTAGAAGGTAAGGTGTAGATTAGAGAATCACTGAATACAGAGGTGAGAATTCTGCAATTCTGAGTTTAAAAAAGAAGGGAACGGTTTGCTGACAGCCTTCTTGACCATAATGCAGGACAGGCCGTCTCCAGATAATGGGCTATGTCGGAGTCTTGATTGAAGTCTTCCTGCAGTGTGAATGAGCAGCGAGCGAATGTCGTGACTTCGGTAGAGTCTGGAGAGGCGATACGCAATGGGCCACACAGTGCAGTGCTGAGCTGCACTAGGACTGAAGCATCACAGAACGCTTCCATGCTCTCAGACCGACCAAGCCCTCAAGCCGTGCAACACCTTTGCAACCATGCTATCCCGTCATATCGTAACTATTAGTATTAGTAGCTCCAAACGAAATGCCACACATCTGACGAGGTGGGCCAAGGCATGCTTAAAGGCCGATACTCCCCTCTTGAAACCCACACCTTAACGCCTCCTTTCGAGCTGACTGTCTTTTGAAATTTGAGAACTATCTAATCTCGGCCAGGTCTCGTTGACCATTTTCAACTTGAATCACTCCTTTCAAAGTGTCAATCAGTTGGCAGGAAGTGCGAGCTGCAACGTTTGGAGCAGCCACTGTCTTCTACATTACCGCCGAAGTGGCAATATCTCGCCTCCTTTCACATTTGAAACATCCAACGTTGCTAACCATGTGTCCTGTTTCAGGCTGCACTGTAGACTGTAGGATAAGATCGAGTGGCCACTGGCCAAAGACTGATGGGACACCGTTTAGATTGATGGCTCAGTTCATGCTCATGACTATGCAGCATTAAGTTCGGGTGTTTCCGGATCGGCAAATTGGACATGGTCCGTAGCCTCTCAACGGGCATCATAGCCTTCACCATAATCAGTATGTGCCGATAAGAGTACACAGCATGCTCTCCTCCTTGGGAAGGCAAAAGAGTGCGCAGCATCCCGGATCCTGTTAACTTTGTCCTTCCGTATGATCAATGTCTACACTGTTAGCGTGTATGGAAGATGATGATGCTCTTACCGGAGGAATGCACGGTGTGGAGCGTGGAATGGAGGAAGGGTATGCCGGAGCATGATTTCGTTTATGAGCGGCTCTCCCCAACATCGGTGCTCAACATCGGTGCTCGCGAAATCTATGCCAGGACACACAGTGCAGTACGCCTCCCTGTCTGTCCTGTCCTGTCCACTCGACAATTCTCGTTATGACACAGCGATTTTTGTTTATTATAAATTATTATACTTTGAAGTACACTTCCTTTCAGAACTGAATATTGCGACAGAGCTTTCGGCCATATTTTCAATTTATTGCATTCCCAACTCATCACAACAACGCGCTCTTCAGCCGAACCATACAGATCTGTATGGTTCGGCTGAAGAGCGCGTTGTTGTGATGAGTTGGGATCTGTATGGGTCGGCTGAAGAGCGCGTTGTTGTGATGAGTTGGGAATGCAATAAATTACACTTCATTTGTGGACAGAATTGTTTCGTCCATTGTGGCCACATCGCGCTTCACAAAGAACCTAGCTTGATGGCACAATCTCACACAAGAGCGAGAGCGACATACTAGCACTTCATCTGCTCACTGAACCTTTTGGTTCAATTGATTTATTTAATATTTGTTTTTTGAGGGTATGTAATGGCAGGGGACGTGGAGAGGAGAAGTAAATGGACTGTTAGTGATATTAATTTTCAAAGCATTAGAATGATAAACGCTCCCGTCGGACTTCGGAAACTGTAAAACAGATATTTTTCTTTTCGAAGTTCACGCAATGCACTCTCTGCACTGAGGAGCAGGTATTGGCGGATAATGCTCGAAAAGGTGGCAGATTCTGCTCGAAAAGCAGTGAAATTGGCAGAACCATACAAACCTTATGGCGGGCAATTCCTCGAATTCTGCTCCATTTCTTTATCCACATACCAAACATGCATGAAACTTACCCGAAAAAGTACCGAATTCTGCCAATTTTTCTGCCGGCATAATCCGCAAAGGCGTACTGAAGAGACCGATGATGACTTTTCAGCACATAACAAACAGCAACCAACTCCAAGGGAGATCGTGGAGCGGGTGCACTGGTGGGACGTACCAAACTCCGCCGACCATAATTATGGTCTCGGCATCACTGCAGGATACATGTACGTGCATCTGCCATAATTATGGACATGGAAAAGGAACGAGCAGTTGTGACGTCACACAAAACTAATTCAAGTATGGGCCTGGATATACGTTTGCAGCCAGATGATGTACAGATCATCAGAGATCTGAGGATTGCCTTAGCTTTGCTATGTGCATGAAACGCAGCGTTACAACAATGACCTAGCCGGTTGTCTCTGTTACCTTCTGCCTTTGTGGAATTGCTCCATCCTTGTGGTGTTGAGCACTCTAGTCTGGGCAATCTGGGAACTCTCGCTGTTGTGATTGTATATTCTACGTAGGGCCAGAGGATTTGCATGTCACAAGTACCTTAGTAATAGTAGTTTCCTGCAGCAAGCCGGAATGATCAGCACCAGTGTCAACATCCACTACAGCATACCGGTATAATGCCATCAATGGGACCAGTAGTGAGAGTGTGGTGCAGTAAAACCTGTAACTAAAGACCACCTTGATTAGCGACCAGCCTGGTACTACAGACCACTTCGCCAGGCACGGACGGTCTAATATTCATATAATGGTTGTGCGGTGCCTCTAACTAAGGACCACCTGACACTAAAGACCGCTTTCTCTGGCCCCAGGGGTGGTCGTTAGTTACAGGTTTACTGTACATGTACTTGGTCTGTTCAACTGTATGTGCTCTTGACACGAACTATGAATGTAGACTGGTTTTCAAGCAAAATCTGCCAATGTTTCGAGCCGCCGATGGCGAGTCACGCCAAGCCCTGGTGTTTCTATCGAAATCGAAAAGTTCCTTTTCGAATCGGTGTTCGGACACAGCGCGAATCTCAGGTTGTTTAACACCGGCATGCCGTAAATCTACCCTCTCATCGGACCTAATTGATCTGGTAACTCAAACAGCACAACCATCCACTTGAGCATAGTCAGTACAAGCGATCCACGTGAGCATAGTTTAACATTATCCAGAAGACTGCATGTTCTTCTTTGTCTGGTGGTGTGGCCACTCGCTGTTCCGCTATCTCTCTCTCTTTCTCTCTGTGTCACGTGTTCTATCCCAGATTTGAGCAATGGAGGCTCCAACTCAAAGTGGAGCTTGGACTGGGCTGCAACTGGTGGTGCAAACAGCATGCAGCATTCGGCCTGTAGCTCCTCTCAGTCCCAGCCCTCGCAACCTTGCCGTGATCATGGTGATATCGGACAGACTCTCAGAAGCCGAGCTGTCACTCAGGGTCAAGAGTCCAAAAGGTCACCTCTCGGTGCATCGTGGCACTGCAATGACGTCCAGACCAGCAGTTGCCACTCCAATCCCCCTGATCACAGTGTTGATGCTCAACAACACCAACAACATTTCTTTCCAATCGAGCCACACACCACGAAGGCCTTCTTGGCGGATCGCCTTCATGGAGGCACCAGGAAGCGAAGCACGACTGTTCAGCACCTGGACAGGTCTATCTCTGCTGGTTGGGCAACACACCATTCACCAACACACAGCACAGGATCTAACAGTACAGCATGGCACCAGCACCCGCTCAGCTACCAGCAGCGAAATGGAACAACTTCTTGCGACCAGGAGCTTTTGTTTTCGAGCAGCTCCCTGGACGCACAAGATCGAGATGCGCAGAACGTGACGACGGCAGCCTGCGCAGATGTTTTGCAGACTGCTAATCCCGATGGATCCCTCCTAGACGGATATGCGATGCTGGCACTGCTGCAAACCTCTGGTGAACACCAGGCTTTGCTGGCCAATCGCTGCAGCAGAGGCAGTGCTAGTAACTCGCTGTGCGCAGGCGAGCAAGTATCCGCTAGCGAGACCAGCTGCGAGGGATCTGCTGGCACTGCGGTAGCAGAGACGGCTCTATCCTACCCGACTTCAACAAAAGTGTTCTCTGGAAAGGGAAGGACATCACTCACTCCTCTCAAGAACACTGAAAAGGAAGAAGGAACTGGCGATGCGATCGACAGCTACATAAACGGTAAGTCCGCTCTTGTCTTTATCCAACTGCCCTCAACATTCTGTATTTGTTCTGTGGAAATCACCATTCCCGTTTTGATTCGGAACCACCGCACCGCCGTCTGCCGAAAAGAACTTGGACTTCGACTTTACCGCTCACGGACACGATCGGTCAAATCGAAATAATTCGTTGGTGAAGGATCAAGAGACATCGGCGGGCCGGAATTAGAAACAGCTCCTACCACCGGGATGGCTTGATACTGAGAGGAACTTCAACTGTCACTGCTTCCTTCTGCTTCCTAGCCTACCCTAGGGACGTTCGTGCAAATGTCGCGAGGGAAGTTCTGGACTTGTCAGTGAAATTCTCCGGAAGATGCATCTACCGTCCTGAAGAAGTGCTCGTTACCGGACAACTTGACAATCGAGACAATAGTGTTATTATCCCAGGCAGGGTTCGAGTCAGAGAAAGAGTCGTCAATGTCGGCAGGGGACGCTAATTCAAGTGCCGAACTAACTTTGTAGTAACCGTAGCGGAGTCACCTGCCAGCAGCTAGCGTGTTGAAAACGATGGAAGTGTTCAGTCGATAACCATTGCGCTGTATAGTACCCGAGCGAACACAATCATAATCATGGCGCGGTGGCCTTAGACAAAAGTGCCAGCCTGACACTAGGGTCCGGAGCGCAAAAGCAAGAATAGCTGCACGTTTAGAAAGTCAGGTTTCCCGTCATTTCTCTTCGTTCAATGCCCATAATGTTGTATGGTAAAATGTGCTTGTTAGAAGTCATGAGACCATATGACCTGATAGATGTGATGAGCCCAAGCGACGAGACTGTATATTTGCAGACACTAGTAGCACACGCTCCTTCATCATATGAATGGACGGATGGAGTGAGGATTGCGCAAACTGAATAATGACCAATATTACTGTACTAATAATAATACCCCTCTCCATAGCTAAAAGTTGTGGAACTCCACCCTCATACGTTGTTTATCCAGGCGGTCCGGGACCAGGCACTACCCGTAACTCCGAATCACATACGTGTTGATGGGGAAAAGCCAGAGATATGGCATGTGATGTCACTATTTCCACTAAAAATAACAAAAGAGCAGTAATATCTCCACTAAACTCGCCCAAAGGGTGCTTGGTAGACCGACATGCCCGTTGCTTCGGTGCCCAAATAACTGAGTTATGAGTTATATAGAAGTACGCAGAAGATAAGTAGAGGTGAAATCACAAGTCAGGAATTCACTACTTGTGTACACGTTTCATCCGTATACGGACTGGAAACATCTGCCTATGACTAATCGACTTTAGTCTGTTTGACACCTCTTTCCATCCCATATATGGATAGCTATGCTCAAGCGATCTGTGCACATGGATAATGACGAATTAACTCATTTCTGTCAGCGTACAACCTTGACAGAATTTACGGAAGTCAAATGCCCGCAACGCATCACCAATAACAACTTATACACAGAAACAAAACAATCTCCAGTTAGTGCCACATGCCGGCGACGCAGGCTGCTGTGGTTTGGCCATGTGGTGCGAGAGGGTCCAGAATCCGCCTCGTTCCAAGCACTGGAGCTATCAATCAACAAAAACGACATAAAAAACCCGTGGTCGTCCGCCATTGCGGTGGATAGATACGATTCGGCACGACCTGAAGGCAGCGGATCTCTCCGTGGAGAGTGCTCTCCAAGCTGCAGGAGATAGACTAACTTGGCTTGACACTGTTGACAGATGCGTCGACTCTGCTCCTGTCTAACAGGTTCAGGGAAGATGCGAGCTGTGTTTATTATTAAATGCTTAAAAAATTTGTTCAGACAGGTTTTGAGGCTTCCAGCAGTTTCATCGAAGTAGAAGATAGCTGAGATAGAAACACTCAACAATGTTTCGGCGCATTGATGACATCAGCTGCAAGAGGTTTCTTGATGCGACCCTGGTAGCATCATCTCAATACAGCCAGGACCTCTTTTACCTAGTTTTCCTTCCCAACAAGCGGAGAAATCATTGGAGCACATGCCCAACAAATGCACAGACTGAAAACCACTCAATCTGCGCCACAGCTATTGTGGCCTTCTCACTAGGTCTCATCAGTAGAGCTCAGAGAGGCTGGCTGAACCAATTGCAGTGAAGTCTAGTCATCAACAAAGCATTGCTGAACGTGTTATATCCACGACTCAAAGTATACCTTTCCTTGGTGATGATCATGCACTGCAAAGAGCTTACCACCACATGTATTGTACATGTAGGTCATTAGTTGGGGAGAGTTGGACACAATTTACCCTAGTTATTCTACTGTGCTCTGTTCTAACCATCAACTGGATATGTCTCCCTATGGTTGTGTACTCCACACTTCATCATGCAGATATTCCAATTGCTGAGTTTGGGAACAGCCAACTGGACGTCTGTCGAAGCACAGCAGGTACTTCAGCACTGAAGACCGCCTATTGTAGCACTGTTGCCTCGTCTAGTGTAAGCTTAGAACAAAACCCCGCGGCCATCAGCAACACCAGTCTGCTAGGAAAGATGTCAACAAACCCTCAGCAGTACCAGTCGCTGTGCGTTTGGAATCCAAACGCGGCTTGCATGGCTCCCAGCCAGGCCTGGCAGCCGGCCGATTCCAATGCTGGCGCTACAGCTGCTGCCGCTGCTGCTGCTGCCGGCTCCAATATCCATTTGGTGCAGCTGAACGGCCCCTTTGCCAGTGTACCTGCTCAGTTTCTGAGCAACTCCGGGCCATCGCAGTGCATTCCCGCAGTGGCCAGCACTGAGCGCCCGTCTCAGATCCCAACGTCTGGCGCGCCAGCCGCGTCACAGCACATCACAGCAGGGCAGCTACACACCCCGGGAAGCTCTGAGTCCGAGGTAGGCACAACAAGCAGCAAGCAGCCCGCCAATCTGCCCAGCGGCCATGTTATACACCAACCATTCATTTCCTCATCACCAACACCCAGAATCCCAGCCGGCAGCAGTAGCAACAACAATCCACCGATGGCCAAGATATCACCCAGCGATGCAGCGTCTCCCAGTGATCGCTGTACCAGTATAGAGACAGCATACCAGAGTCTGTCTGCCCAGCACGCCCACAGTGGCCACGGCCTGGCAAGCAGCCAACCAGTGTCCTCCCCGTGGATGCCGGAAAAGTCACGATATCAGGCACTTGCGCAGCAGCCGCAAACACAGCCACAGCACCAGCAGCAAACCCAGCATCAGCAGCAGCTACCAGCAGCAACACTTCCATACCATCAGCCTGCACTAGGTAGCATGGCGACCATGGCAACCATGGCGGGCATGGCGGCTATCATGCCTGTTGGGCGCACTGAGGATCCCCATATGTCCTACCATTCACTGCAAGCATCTTCTAGATCTAATGGTAAGCCTAACACAACACACTGAAATCTCCATGAAGTCTTCAGACTTTCAAGTTTCCATGCAATATCCCGGCATTAGTCAGGTCATATCCCACATCATTACTACTTGTAATTGCCTGTTATATGTATTTATATGTGCGTGAGTTTAGATAAAGGGAGAGCGCAGTTATGGTGTAGTGTTTGATGGTTGATGTGCGTGAGTTTGCTTTACAACATGTTTGTATGTATGCCATCATCTGCTGTGTTACCCACAGGACCTACCAGCAGTCCTGGGGTAAGGCCTACGCTCTACCGCCCGCCACCAACCATAACAAGTCCACTAGGCTACGAGAGTGGCCGCCCGGAGCACTCGCCCGCGCTGGGTGGCATGCTGACGGCCGGACCGGACTACACTGCCACCGGACAGCAGCATATCTATGGCATGCCAGCACCGACCGGGGGATTTCCTGCACGACCTATGACCATGCAGCCAAGTCCAACTAACTTTCACAGCCCGGTTATGCCTCATCAGCCAATGAATCTGCCGCTAACCGGGCGCTACTCTCCACCAATGACGGCGAACGCACAAGTATCACAGGCATTCGTCTGCAGCAACGATGCACCTAGTGATCAGCACATCTTCCTGGGCCAGTTGCCGGGCTCGCCACTGCGCAGCAGGTACCTGTGGTTGTTTCTGCTGCGACTACTGGAGGACAGCCGATATGCCCCTGTCATTACCTGGACGCGTCGTCGTGACCTTGAGTTTCAACTGCGGCAGCCTGAGGAGGTGGCAGCACTGTGGGGCAGGGTCAAGCGCCGCTCAAACATGACCTACGACAAGATGTCCAGAGCAATGCGCTACTACTACCGACAGAACGTGCTGAGGAAGGTCAGGAACAAGCGCTACGTGTACCGCTTCCTGCGTATTCCCAGTCTTGAGCAGCAATCCTCTGCCCTGCCAGCAACCACTCCACTCTCAGGTGTTCCCCTGGGTGGCGGTGAGCACTCGCCAACCATGCTGCCAACTGGTGTACCGCCACCTACTGAGACTGGTACTCAAACGGACCCTGACTCCAATGACGAAGACAATGACGACGATGATGCTAGTTCTCATATCCCACTGGAACCAGCTGCAGTTCCCTCACCACCCTGTCTTGGTCCGGGCACAGCCTTGGATATGGTCAACATCATTGGCGAGCCACCGAAAACGGATCCATTGCCAAAGACTGAAAGTCCTGTGTCGCATTAGGCTTATCGCAATCAACGGCAGGCTCTATCGTTGATATGGATAGTGTCTCATCATATACCGGAATGTAGTGTCAGGGCAGTTCTTTATCCTAAGTATGAGCAGGTATTTGGATTTTGCTTTCATGCACATGCACACAAGCACACATGCACCCAAACAAAAACACACACACACACACACATGTGCGAATGCACATATGCAAGCGCGCGCGCGTGCACACACACACACACACACACGCACACTACTACTACTACTACTATGTACAGCTACCCTATCGGGCCACGCCGCTCCCAGAAGCGGGAGACAACGACAAGAAGAGAGAAGAAAAGGGAGAGAAATCGCAAAGTCAACAATATTTGGCATGGCGTTGCAAGTCCTGTGGCCTTGAGAACCGTCTTTCGCAATGCTCGCATTCATGACGGCAGTTGTTCCTGGCTGCACGTGACATCCGTTTCGCACGGTCACACACACACACACATACACACACACACACACACATACAAACCATTGTTTCGTTCATAATGGTATTTATCTCACCGTAATTGTTAGATTCATCCTAATGCCAAAAGTACTACTTCTAAAAAACGGTACTGGATATTGCACAATACAATTTCTCGGAGTCTCTAGTATTCTCCCAATTTTCACGATATCAGAGCCTCAGATTATTATGTTACTTTGGATGATACTGCCATTCTAAACCATTACTGATGTGCTTCTCAGTCAGTGCTATTCATAATACTGTTCTGAGGAGAATTTAGTTCATGATCAGATTTCAAGTTATAGAGTGTCTTTCCTAAACAAGACGGTAAATGAGTATTCTTGTCAAATTGAATTTGAAAGTGCTAAATGATGGTTATTGCAATATTGGACTTGTATTATCTGTATTCTCTGCCGTCGTTTGATTTGCCCTATTCAGTATCCACCATAATTATGTCTACCACATGTTCACCGGCTTTATGTGATCATGGTGCTGGCGACGCCTGCAAAACATCCACTGCACAACTGGTGCATAAAGTGATTTTACAGGTTTTTTTTGCGGAATTCTTATAATTCTTAAGTATTACAAGTGTTTTTTGTAGTACTGATATCCACCACTGAGTAACATGATGACCACATTGTATTTCTCGAGCTCAGACCACATTGTATTTCTCAAGCTCAGTTTTAGCATGTACCCGGTACCAGTTCTGGGAAAATATGTTGTGACTTCAGTACAAGCTGGCCAAAGAATCAGGAAGGTAATGAATTCTCCTCTAAATGGTGTACTAAGTTCTGTGCTGCTCTAGCCGTGTGGAATTTGCTATCGGCACGATACAGCAGAAGCCAAGTGGAATTCCTGTCCCTGCCCATTTAAAGCTATACTCGGAGATGTGTTGATACTGGGCTACTTTCAGTGAAAGTGACTGCGGAAATTCACCATACTGGAACTTCGATCTGATACAAGTACAGTGGCCCGTGTTCAAACAGGAATCTTAAGTTCTAAGAGGAACGGACACTGAAGCTCGAAATTGGGGACACCTCTTGACAGTCCCCTTGACGTACTACAATCACTGAGCTCCAGAGTGCGTGTGTGTGTGTGTGTGTGTGTGTGTGTGTGTGTGTGTGTGTGTGTGTGTGTGTACCTCTGAAATAAGGGCATTTCCAGTTAGCCCTTTGGAGCCCACATGCTTCAGGTTGATCAGTATTCAAAAACTATGCGATCAGGTGAACGATCATGATGTTATTATTGCCGTAGTTATGAATTCATAGAGCAAAGTCGCAGGGTGAGGAGACAGGTAAGGCAAGCAAATGGCTACCGTCCTTGTAACTTGTACTTCAATAACAATCATAGAAGAGAGCTAATGGGGGGGGGGGGGGGCAGAAGGTGAAAATTGAGTATAGTATTGGGGAAAAATTCATGGTTTACGTGAGACTCGTTTTAGTATTGGAAGGAGTGCAAAAGATCTCAAGCAATTATCTCAAGTTTCAAGTGTTAAGATTTTAACCAAACTAGCAGGTGAAATGGCCTTGTTGCTTAGCTGTGGTGGTCAGAGTCTTATAAATATGGCAGAGGAATTGCATGCATGTGCTGGACTATGACTTAGGTCAGGTCACCAGTGAGTGATAGCTCATAGATACCATGGCATTAGTGGCCGCGAGATGTTTTGGGTATGATTCCTTTCCTGGTGTGAAAGTCAATACCCAAGTTCAAATCCGTGACACACTGGTCGAATTAGCTCAGGAGCATCCGCATTCCGTCACAACAGGGTTTATCAGGTTGACCACATTGGTGATATTGAGGTCATCGCGCACCAGGATGAAGAATTCGTTGCTCTGGAACTTTGCAGGGATGCAGCAGCTGTGGCTGAGACGCTGGTCTGATACGCCATCGCGGACTAGATCCATGAAGGAAGCATGCTGCGTTGCTGGCATACCGAAGTCACATTCCCCTATACAATCATAGATGTCCAAGTTCTTTGGACGGAGCACCTCCACGTCGTCAATGTAGTCAGGAAGGTGAATAAGAAGTGATTGCCGTCGGCAGAGCTCTTCTTCTGGGATAGCCATGGCACCCTCTTCAATCTCCACATGGAGGGGAATGTCTGACGGGGTCGGGACGACTTCTTCTCTGCGACGCCGACCATGGGTGGATGGTGCACCGCGTGATTGCAGGCGAGATCGGCGCAGTGGCCGGGAGGAGTGATTGCGAATGAACTGAGCGATGGAGAGAGGTGCAGCCTTGCGCACACCGGTCACGGAGAATGGACTGCGGCTGATCATGTTGCCGATTGTTTGCGTACGACGCTCATGATGCTGGTGCTGACCAATTGGCTTCAGAGCGACGCTGAGGACCTGACTTGGCCGATCACTATTGACCGTACTGTTCTCTGCTATGCACACCTTCACAACAGGTTCTGAAGCTGTCTTGGACGAGGCCCTGGCTCTAGCGCGGATTTCCTGACTAACTTCCACAACAATCCACTGTGATGACGGAATGGCAGACCAGACTTTGCCGAGGCTAGCTACGGTTGTCTTGAAGTCTCCTGCCACTATCTGCAGTGACGCTACGTGATCCAGGACGTCATGCCGTGATCCCTCCGCCATCAGACTGGTGAAGTGGTCCGGCGTGAACCACATCTCGGCAAAGCACGTCGTTGCTTCATCATTCTCCGGCAGTAGCCAACTGAATGATGTACACAGGGATCCTGCAGGTGACAATAAAATGGCGAGGGACATACATTATAGTCAGGAGGATGAGCAGTGGCTTTCGGCCTGTTCATCATTGAGAGGAACCTACACGAGTTTAATGCAATGCAGATCTGCATGGAAAAGGGAGAAGTCTACCAGGAGGACCACAAAGGTATTCGATAATTGAAGACATTCCAGGATGTTCGTGTTACAACATGACCGTGACAAGCAGGGCACGTGATCAGCAGTGACGGAGAATGTTTGGACAGGGACTTGACATGTCCAGCTGGGTGTGATCTCAGCATCTTCAAAGAGGGTTATTTGGCGGTGGGTGAAGTGCCTTCTGCCATGCTCGTCTGTCAGGAGTGCATGAGTGAAATTGCACTGTGGCTGCACTGTCTCCTATCTCACGTGATTTAGTAAAGTGCCCTAGATATCATTTTTGTAGGTGGCTGCGAAAACCTTAAGCACGTACAGATAACATCTAAAGGCACTTGCCTAATGTGCTTGTGCATGTACGCATACATATTTGCACGTTCCTGTACACAAAGTGATACTGTCAATCCTCTCCTACTGCTATTGCATTCCCTCTGACAATCTACAACCCCGCTGACATCTCATTCTCACCACATAACAGCATGTGTATACCTGCCGCACGAGCAGGATATGCTCCAGGAAGTCAAGGGGAGGGGCGGGGGCATTCAACACAGCCTAATGATGTACTCTTCATTTCGCAATAACACTAGTCACAACATGAGCGTGTCTAGTAGAGCTGGCATGTCTAGTAGACTCTTATCATACCTAGTAGTACCTAGCAGGAGGTCCTGTAGATTTTTGAAGTACAGTGCTGGCAACTGAAATCCGACCCCCCTAGCGGTGCGCTAGCCGCGTTAGCGATTCGTACGAGACGCTAGGGGGTCGGATTTCAGTTGCCAGCACTGTATATGTGCCCACACACAGTCCTGTTCTTCCCTTGCACTATGCATCAGATCACAGGGTGGGTGGCATGTGCAGTTTGGTCACGATGTGTATGTGCGCCACTCTGTGTGTGTGTGTGTGTGTGTGTGTGTGTGTGTGTGTGTGTGTGTGTGTGTGTGTGTGTGTGTGTGTGTGTGTGTGCATGTGCACGTGTCAAACGTGAATGCTGTTCAGGACGAAATGGGTGGTCTGCGGATCAAAAAGCCATTGCATATCCGCTTTTGTCCGATATGTTTGAACACGTTTTCATGCCCTTCATCAAGATTGTGCTAAGCATCCATATTACACATTACATAGTACAAACATATTATGCATGATATACGTTACATGGATGTCTGTAACATATTATGATACTGAGACCTGGTTGGCACATGTACCCACTACACAGGAGAGAGCCAACGCATTCCATTGACGCATCACGCATACCATTGCTGTTACATGTACTATTTCATAATCATAATACTTGTCTACTTTTCATAGGACATGTATTACATAAATATTTTTTAACTAGTTACTTCATGACTTGGTCGGCCACAAAGATGTACCGGTACATGTATCTGCAATTACCCATTACGTTTACCGGCATAACGACCCGGCATAACGACCCTGCATAACCGTACCTGTATCAATACACCCAGGTACTAGTACCAGTAGCTCCTCCTAAAAACGCAAAGCTTTGTTGAACGCAGAAATGCCTAACATTGTCAAAAGACCGTATTTTCCTTACCTTCTTCGTAGAAAACGGATAGTGGTCGACTTCGGTAGGAGGATGACAGGCATCGGCTGGAGATTGTTGGCCCGTTGCGACGCCGCGAAGCCAGATGACGATAGAGGAACTCCATGTGTATCTGCTCCGCCGATTTCGGTTCTCGTTGGTTGGCGTGGTTCTCGCGCGCACCATTGTCCTCGACGGCGAAGTTGAACTTTGCCCTGCTCTTCTCGACTGTCGTACCGGTAGATTCGGCTGGCTGGTTGCTGCGCTGTGCGAACTGCAAGAGTCCTTCGAGAGTGCGGGAAGTGCCGTGGCCGAACAGAGCGAAGAGAAGCACCGCGATGGGCAGAAGACGAAGAGTGGACATGATGAGGGACGACCACTGAGACGAAATACGCAAAGGTGTGAAAAGGTGTGAGGTCCTCTTGTGTTCGCTCTCTCTCTCGCTGTCTTTTTGTCTGAGAACAGTGGTGCGTGCAATGTAGCGTACCACGTACAAGACTAAAACTTATCTTCTCCTTCTCAACTGATGGAGAACGTCAGACAGTTTCTAGTGCACCAAAGTGTTCCGCGTCAACCAAGTAGACTAGCTTGATTGGAAGATTGGAAGATTGAAAGTCGCTGGCGAGACCAGGAACACTGATGATTTCCTCAGTTCTCCACAGCTATTTATGTGCTTGATCGTCACACTCGAAAAGTAGGTTTGCGCAAAGCGGATATCGTTTCGCTCCGGACCGGTACGGTGGGGCAACGCAGAAACGAAAAGACGAGTAAATCCCGTTCCGCGGATAGCAGTTGATGAGCTGAAACCATGTTTCTTGTGGCGCGATACCCTAACAGCTATGCGCAGTAGCTGGGATAAGGGTGCAGGAGCTGAACCCAAGCCCTGCAGGACGGCAGGGGAGCGCGATTACTGGTGTCTGGAGCGAGTGAAGAAGTGTGAAGGCGGAGCTGCATAATCCAGGCCGGAGTGTCAACTGACTCTGTGGCGCGATGTGGTGATGGCATTTCGACTAGCCACAGACAGTAGGGCACATGCAGTTGGCAGGTATAATGCGTGTAGGTATTCACTCCAGATGGAATGATGAAAAACGCAGAACTACTACTACACATGTAGAAACTGACGTGTTACGTATAACGTATACACCTACACTAGAATGCCTGCCTGGCCTAGATGCTGGTCAGGTGCAGGTCTTATCACTCCAATGACTTGTTGTTCGATGTCGTGTCGCTATAGATTCCCCGTCCCTGTATGCTCCAGGGCTTTTCCCTCTCGGCATTATTCTACAGGAACGAGCTCGCTCATCAATCCCTCAGCAGACACGGATTTGCGACAGTGCACTCAAATGCTGAGCTATTGAGTATTGTATTGAGCATTGTGTCGGGGGCAAAGGACTTGTGAGCCATACTTTGCTCTTTCCAGTCCGCGCCTAAAGCCAAGCGCACGCGAACCCGTGGGACGGTGGAATGGCTTGCGGACAGGCAGCATGGTGGCGGACCTGTGTCCCTACAGGTTGGACCGACGATGTACACACACTACCTCACAGCCATTCACATTGAATGGTCCGGGACTCGGCGGCATTTGGACTATGAAACAACACATCGTATTGTCCGTACATGTATTCCATGGCTGTCGTCTGCCGCAACATCCGCCATGCATCGCCATACTAGTAGGATACTGCTAGTACAGTGCTGGCACCTGAAATCCGACCCCTGAGCGGTGCGCCCACATCGCAAAGACCCAACACGGGATGGTAAAACTGCGAAACAGAGACCGCTAGAACGTGAACGCACCGCTCAGGGGTCGGATTTCATTTGCCAGCACTGTAGTAGTAAATCTACTCCAGCGCTGAAATATCGAAGTAACAGTTAGTTATTCGAGCAGTGAATTCTCACTTAGAGAAGTAGTTCATCGACCCAGTGGCACTGCCCCCTCGCAGTGTTTTCCTTCTCCTCGTGCCAGTCCATTGTTTCCATGTTGATGATGTTGGCGCGTGAACTCACCACTACACTGGGCTAGTGTGAGGCAACACAAAAGAACTCTGCTAAGTACAGGCAGCAGTTTATAGCCACTACTTAGTCATCGCTCGCCCGGAGTGAAATAGCTGCTCGCACCCTCAAGCCATCTCTCATCACTACTGCACTTCCTCTACTTTCTCCAGTCGAAAACATTCGACAGACTCATCGAGTCTTGTAAACATGTGACACTGCATCGGTCCGAGAATCTCTTACCGACTTCGACTGTATTGGACCCAGCTGGTGTGCCAGTCCTGCGCCCGAAGTTCGAAGTGATTATCGAGACAAGGAAAGTCATTTTTAATGCCATCACCTCTCTTGTTTTGGAGTTGTGACTTTTTCTTCAAAGATTTAATCAAATTAGGTGATAGTGTGAGTGATTGTGTGACAAAAGGATGTCGTGGCATGCTTCTAGTCAATACTACCGGTACTACCGCCTGCAGGTTTGCATTGTTGTTCTACGTACATGATTGTACTTCTGGAGTAGAGCCGTTGACAATGGGCACTCTGAGAATTGGCGTGATGTGTGATGCATGGTGTTGAGCTCTTCCAGCCCAAGATAAAGAGGCATTCCATTGTCACGGCGTCTGAATTGCTTTTCATCACCCTACCCGCATCAGAGTTGTCTCAGGTGTGAGTCGTGTGCAGGCACAGAAATGTCCAGGGATTTGTGTTGCTTTCAGTGTTGCTTGTGACCTATGACTATGTTGATAAAGCCATGAAAAGAATAGCAGACACTTCGTCATCCCATTCCATAAACCATCCTCTAGGTGCTGTACACGTGACTGCATTCATCAACCTTTAAAGTGTACTGTACTGTGGTGTTCAGTGAAGGCGTGCATTTGTGAAGCCGTTTCAGAATTAGTTCTTTAACCGCCATTCAGCTTCGCTGTTTTATCTTCTTTTTTGTCACTGGTCACAGTGGTGATTGTGTACATGTACATGTACTATCATTAGGACCTAGCCGAGCACACCGACACTAAACAGAAAGTCACAGAAAAATCGACGTGACCTACAAATACAATACTACAGTATCTATTTGGGTAACAATGAGAAAAAGCAAATCAAAGACAACTGTACAACTAACACGGAAAATGAGCACCATGCAAAATATCTATTCAATTATTATGCGTTTCCGCCACTGCTAGTGTGGCGTACTGATCATTCGAACCCACACTGGGGTGGCCATGCCGATTGCGCGAGCCACGCAAACACAAAATGCAAGATCTCAGCAATGCAAACGAAATTCGGCAGCGGATGAATGACATGACCAGTGAGTATGGCTCATTATGCTTCTCAGATTGCAAACTCGCAATACGTTTATATAAAGAAGAGGCGGCACGGCTGAAACCTCCGCATGCGGAGAGTACTGCCGGTACAAACGAACAACTCGCCACATTCCGTACACGCTCCTTGTATTTCCGCTTCTTCTCCTTTTCGTGCTTCGACGTGACCTCGATTATTCATACCGGCTATATACCGACATTGGTTCTCGAATTAGACCCAGGGTTACCACGTTGGAGTACACTGTAGTTGAACAAGAGAAGAATACCGTGATCACCTTTCAAGCTTGTTGGGAGCGCAAGAAAAAGAGTCGACATCTGTCTCCGATTTCCAGAGTGTAACCATATCGTGTCTCCGCGTTGACATCCTCCTCAAGCTAACTACGTGTACATGTAGCCTGTTGTAGGTCTACATGAAATCATCAGTCCTACTGTTGTTCTCCTGTAGTTCGAATAATTATTTCAATCACTCCCTCAAAATCTTCACTAAAACGTACGAATAATTTCAATCCTCAGTTCCATTATAAAATCGTTCACACCACGCTACGTGACATGTAATCGCCTCAACACCAACGCCTCTCAACTTTCAGAAAATCGAGTCCAGCAGACAGTGGACTGAATCTACGCCCCTGCAACTCGTTACCTACAATCGAGCAGCTGGTGTCGAACCGATGTTATTGACCACTTTACTCACCCTTCAGCCTTCACAGGCTCCTAGCCACATCACTGGAAATGTCAGTTGTTTGTAAAGTGACACAAGGATATTCTTTGTTCCTGATACGAGCGGCTCAACAGCGGTTGTATTTTCTACTGTCTGCGAGGAAGATTTCACAGATAAAATACGAAGTTTTGACGCCATGTTGTTGTTCCGACCTAGGGGTGAGGGTTATCCACTCGTAAATTTTCGATCACGCCCCTCGGGCTCAGCGAGGGAGTTATTTCCTTGCCCACGAGTTCAAAGTTGGCAAAGGATTCTGCAGGTCGGATCTTGTTCCAAATGACTTCACAGCGACACTTAATAAGTCACTATGCCCACTCGTTTTTATTACCCACTCCGCTACGATATAAACATCCAGTGAATAGGCAAACAAAACCTGCTACATGATCCACATGTACATGAAGATTTTCCCGATCTCACGATTTCCAATCAAGCAGGTTGAGTTTCCCAATGTCAGAGGAGTAGTCAAATAGAGTTAGATTTGGACTATGCCGCTGTGTTTCGTCAGCACACAACAAAAAACACAAAATAATGCAAATGCTTGTACGTGACTTGGTAATTGGCACACTGCCTGGCGAGGCGGTTCATCTACAAGCTACATTGTAACTACATAATAAAACACACACATACACACACATACATGTACACACACACACACACACATACACACACACATACACACACACACACACACATACACACACATACACACACACACATACACACACACACACACACACACACACACACACATACACACACACACGCACACACACACACACACACACACACACACACACACACACACACATACACACACACACACACACACACACATACACACACACACACACACACACACACACACACACACACACACACACATACACACAACAGAAACGAATTGCTGTGTAGATCTAACTTTAAAAGTTTAATTTCAGCGATCATCAGACAGCAGCATTTGCCCCAGGGCTGCTGTTTGTGATGATCGCTGAAATGCGTGAAACTTGAAGTTACAGCCACACAGCCGTTCGCCTCTGCTGTGTGTGTATACTGCTCTGCACATTTGTGCACTGAGCACTCTACCTCGAGCTACGAAGACCGGCCTCGTTTGTAGCCACACAATAATGTACATGTACACCGCTGGGAATGCATGAAATACACGGGCACTGAGTGCCTGTGGAGATTCTGTAGTAGGTTGGAACTTTGCTACCAAAGTGAACTTTAGAAAGAGTTACAACTTATGTTTCTCAAATTCGAAATAGAATGTCCAACAGTGAGACAAAAGCCCCCTCTTTGCACCAGTTCACTACAGTTCCCTCCACCATCACTCAAAGCTTCGCACCCTTAGCTCACGAAGTCCTACTAGCATGGGACATCCACCACCAAACCTCCCCACCACACCTGCAACAACCAATTATTGCACCACAACGTCAACACCAACCATACACCCTTCGATAGACAAGGACCTACTCCATCGGACACGCACACACAAACAGGCACCGAGATCCCCCCATCAACAGTGCCCTCACCCTCTACAACTCACTCCCTATCGACATCACAACCCAACCTCGTAGAAATTCTTTCCAAAACAATGCATCCAGTCTTCTTTTGAGCAGTACCTGTTCCTGCTCCGCGCATCCCCTGGTTTCTGATATCTCGAACGTGTACTTTTAAAACTATCTCGATCATCCCTGCTAACGTTATTGCCCCGCGTGTTTTTCATGATCCATTGCTTCCTGCCTCCCCAGTTAATTTTCATCTAGCTGTTTCTGGCTAGTATAGTTCTATCACACTTATCAATCGTCCTTATTGGCGTCACGCCATCGTGGAATAAAATAATAATAATAATAAAAGCACACAAAACAGCATTTGCTGGGTGCTGGCAGTGCTAGTGCTAGTCTCAA